GCGGGAGCAGGCCCTGGGTGGACTCTGAGCCCGCGCCTGTGAGGCGGATGCGGCCCTTCCTGGAGCTGAACCGGAGCCATCGGAGCCCCGGTGCAGGGCTGGAGGGGGAAAGCGCAGGCGAGGGAGTAAAAACACCAAAGCACCAGGGTGGTCCCGGCTTCTCACCTGGTGGGAGGCTGTCGAGGTGGTTGATGGGCGGGACTCGGGACGTCCGGTGCCCGGGAGCCGCAGCCCCAGCCCCAGAGTCTCCCTGGGCCAGGGTCTCCGGAGTGAGCGCTGAAGACCCAGAGGAGTCCTCTGGTGAATGGAGATCACGTTTCCGTCCATTCATTCACTTACTCACTTTTCATTCATTCCACAGATCCTGACAGTCTACTCTGTCATGCCTTTTACTTGACAATTGGAGGATACTGAAAAGCAAACAAGCAAACGCCCTTGAGGCCTGGCAAAGAGGAAGCACACTCGGTGCTACCCATTGCACACATACCACTGTAGGTGTATCCAGGCAGCCCAGCTTTGGGGTCATTGGTTCAAGCAACGGTGAGCCCCCTTTCTGACTAGGCGGTTTACCATCTGCTTTGGCCCCTTTTCTAGCCGAGTGAGATCAGGCAAGCCACTTCTCTTTCCTAAGCCTTTGGTTTCCTCCTCTATGAATGAGACTAATAAAATATAAGATTTCTGCAAGGACCAAATTAGATGAGTGTGTGTACACTGGCTAAAAGAGCCAGCCCTCAGTGAAAATTAGCTCCTGTGATTGTTATTCATAACCATTAGCAACAAACATGTATAGAGTCTACGACTGCCAGACCCATTGCTGCGAGATCAACAGATCGAGTCCTACATTCCATAAGGCATGTAGCCTGGTCTTTTTAAAAAATGGGATGCCGCCCTAACCGGTTTGGCTCAGTGGATAGAGCGTTGGCCCGCGGACTGAAAGGTCCCAGGTCCCAGGTTCGATTCCGGTCAAGGGCATGTACCTTGGTTGTGGGCACATCCCCAGTAGGAGGTGTGCAGGAGGCAGCTGATCGATGTTTCTAACTCTCTATCCCTCTCCTTTCCTCTCTGTGAAAAATCAATAAAATATATTTTTTTTAAAAAATGGGATGCCATGAAAAATATGTCAGGAGAGAGACTGTTCTGACATAAAGAGCAGAAAAAACATAATCAAATAAAATGATGTGTGAGCCCTGGCTGGGTAGCTCAGTTGGTTAGAGCATTGTCCTGATATGCCAACGTTGTGAGTTTAATCCCCCATCAGGGCACATACATGAATCAGCCAATGAATGCATAAATGAGTGGAACAACAAATCGATGTTTTTCTCTAAAATCAATTTTTAAAAAAATCAAATGCAGTGTGTGAATCTTGAATGGACTCTGTTATTTTGTGTGTGTTTTTTATTTTTTAGCTAATAAATATTTTTTGACAATTGTAGAAACTTGAATATGGCTTGAATATAGATAATTTTAGTGAATTATTGGTAATTTTCATAGTGTAATAAGTATATTGTGTTCATGTAAGAGAATGTTCTCATTGTTAGGCTATACATCTGAAGAATTTAGGGGTGAATGTCATAGTACCTATGAGTTATTACTTTTAATGGCTCAACAAAAAAATCATGTAAACACAAATATACATAGAGAGAAAGCAAATAATGCAAAGTGTTAACAATTGTTGAATCTAAGTGGTACTATCAACTTTGCTGTATGTTTGAAATTTTTATAACAAAAAGCTGGGGAGATGGAATATAATATTGTATCCATGTTGTGGTTACAACCCCAGAAACATTATGTTTGTACATGGATAAACACTGGAAGAGATCTGAAAACCAGTGACTTCTGATAGTTTGTATCTGATTTTTGTCAAAATGGTACTTGAACAAAAAATACAAATTACAATAAATAAGACACAGTTCAAACTTTTAAATCACTCACAGAGATATTAACACATAATTTCAATACAAGGAGAGAAATGATTTGTGACAGCAGAAGGGAGAGAGAGGAAAAAGGAAAGATGGAGTGGGAGGAGGAGAGGGAGAGGTAGGAGATGGAGAGAGAGGGGTAGGTGTCGAAGAGAGAGAGAGAAAGATGAAAATGCTCTGCTGCTGGCTTTGAAGATGGAGGGAGGGGCATGAGCCAAGGAATGCAGGCAGCCTCCAGAAGCTAGAAAAGGCAATGAAACAGATTTTCTCCTAGAGCTTCCCGAAGGAATATAATGATCTTGGAGCCTACAGTCTGTAAAGTAAATAATTTGCCTTGGTTTTAGCCAGGAAATTTGTGCTTGTTGTTACAGCAGCCATAGGAAATTAATACAGGGGTTAATACCACCTACTTTGCAAGCATGTTGCCAGGAGGAAATGAAGTTATGGGGCTAGCACATGGAATATTGTGCCTGCCAAATGATAACAGAGTTTTATTACCATTTTCAACAAATGGTAAGAGAGTATTTATTATATCCCAGGGAAGGTGTAAGATTTCCCCAAACAGGTAATATTTGAGCTAAGTCTTGATGAGTATGTCTTTGTCAGAAGGGATCCATATTTCACCATCTGAATCAATGGGCACATGATCCGATAAGCAGGCGTTAATTCCTGGCCCCAAGGGGACAGGATATTTCAATTAGGCCGATCCTACCTGGAAAATTCTTTTCTGGAACTCTGATAGCATAGAGCAGTGGTTCTCAACCTTCCTAATGCTGCGACCCTTTAATATAGTTCCTCATGTTGTGGTGACCCCCAATTTCATTGTTACAAATTGAACATAATTAAAGCATAGTGATTAATCACAAAAACAATATGTAATTATATATGTGTTTTCCGATGGTCTTAAGCGACCCCTGTGAAAGGGGTCGTTCGACCCCCCAAAGGGGTCGCGACCCACAGGTTGAGAACCGCTGTTCTATGTGATTTTAAAATGAACAAATGACCACAAACTGGGGGCTTAAGACAATAGACATTTATTGTCTCACAGTTCTCGAGGCCAAAGGTCTGAAATCAAGGTGTCGGCCCTTCTGGAAGCTCTTGAGGGAGAACCCATCCCATGCCTCTCTCCAGCTTCTGATGTTACTGGCAATCCATGGCGTTTCTCGGCTGCAACTTCATCACCCTCATCTCTGCCTCTACTGTCACGTGGACTTCTTCCCTGTGTGGCTCTGTCTCTGTGTCACATAATAAAAACAACGCAGAGGGTTTCTCATCCAGAGCCAAATCAAATCTCAGGTTGTCCACTTGAACCCCTAATTATGGCTTGCTCTGCAGGGCTTGCTATCTGAAATCTGTTCATTGATGAACATCAACTTCAAACTCAGCCCAACCATCTGCCCCTGGGAGGGAAGGGAGCAGAGGGAGGAGGGGGAGGCAGATTGCTGCCTCTCACCTCACGCTCACTGAGATCCAGCCTCTCGCTGAATGGCTTGTGGAGTGGGATTGCTCACCCTTTTATTTCTTCTCCTTTTCTTGCTCTTTTTTTTTTTTTTTTTTAATTTTTGGTGACAGAACTCAATAGGCGAAGTCTCTTCTTAAGGCAAGTATCTGTATAATGCAGTACCTCTCCTATACATTGCACTATTTCCTTGTCTCTGTCCTTCCCCAGGTCTAGCACTGTCCCCAGACAGCATACCAGCTTGCAGACACCACATCTAAAAGGACTGTGGACGGAAGGGGCCACATGCTAACCTGACTAGGTCAGGGGAGGCCTGCATGGCAGTCTTGCAAACTCAGAGACCTAAAGTAACCACAAAGGATGGTCTGAAATTAAACTTTAACTAAAAGCAGTTATGGTGGGTAGTCACCTCCTAGGCTGGTATCTTCACTGATAAGGTCAA